CCCAGGCTGTCAGGCTGGGCCCTGGGGCTCCGGGGTTTCTGCAGGAGGCTGGCATCCAGTTACCCAACAGGGCTCCCCCACGCCCGCCCACAGCCACACAGGCGGGCTATGGACTGCGCCTTCCCCGCCACCCCATCACGCCCTCCCCAGGACGGCCCGTCTCGGGCTGGCTCGGGCTTCGCCCCGGCACCCGTCTCTTCCCTCAGCCCCACCCTCCCGGCCACTCTCGGAGAGGCCAGGTGCATTGAGAAGCCCCCAGATGCTCCTTGCTGGAGCCTGCAGCCCTGCGGTGTCTGTGCTTGCTTTGAGTCCCCACCAGCCCTCTGTCCACAGGAGATAGCTAGGCAGGGCCTCCCGTGTCCCAGCAGACAGAGCAAGCAGACACCGGCCACTTCTGGGGAACCTACTTTGCCTCTCCCACATGAAGACTGATACCTCCTTCCGGAGGCAACAAGGGCCCGGAGACCCCAAGTGATCAGCCTGGGGTCACACAGCCACCTGGGGAGACAGTACTGGGAGCCAGGCATCCCGCCTCTGGCCGCAGCACACAAAGGTTAGCCCAGCTTGGTGATACCCTTCCAACAGCCTTCATGAGGTGAGGGGCGGGTTCCATTTCCTATCCCCTGGAACCTTCCTCCCCCTGGAGAAGAGAAGTCTTTAAAGCCAGTCAGTGACAAGGGCTTCGAAAAGGGACACGGGGGAGGCAGGGAGTTGGAAGCAGGAAGAGCACTCCGGATGCTGGAGGTGGACTCGCGGGGACAGCAGCCCCCACACAGAGTTGAGCCACACGAGATGTTGGGGGGCAGCACGGAACTGGGTCCCAGCCAGCTGTGGCTCTGCAGGGTGGAAGGGTAAGCGGGGGTGGCGGGGAGCCCAGAATGCCAGGCAAAATGTCCAAATGTCACCCAGCGGGGCACTTGGTGACCTCTGCACCGGGCAGGTACTGCTCTCACTGCCACCGCGGTGATGCTGGTGACAGGCAAGGAGGCCCTGCAGGGCGCCAGGGCAGGTCTGTCAAGAACTGACCACCGTCTGGGCGTGGTGGTGCACGTGCCTGCCATCCTAGCACTCTGGGAGGCTGAGGCAGGCGGACCACAAGTTCAAGCCCAGCCAGGGCAACTCGGCAACTTAACGAGACCCTGTCTCAAAAGAATAAAACATGAGCTGGGGATGTAGCTCAGTGGAAAGGCTCTGGGTTCAATCCTCAGTGCTTGGGGGGTGGCGATCACAGGCAGAGGGCTGGATTTAGAGTTTGGTGGGAAGTCCAGGTGGGAGGGCTGCAGGGCTCTGTATGTGGACACCAAAAGCCTGGGGAGCTGCGGGCACCCCGCTCCACAGGCCTTGGGCGTTCACAGACACAGGTGTGGGGAAGCAGCCTATGGAGCAAGCTGCTGAGGGCAAAAGTGCATCCCTGATACCACACCTTGCCTCAGTTTCCCCATCTGTGCCACAAGGGTATTGGGCTCTCGCTGCACCGTGCAGCCCCAGCCCCTCCAGCGCAGCTCTTCCCAGCTTCCAGGGGGCTTTCCTTCTCCGCACCCCAGTGTCCACTCTTCGAGGTCAAGCAATGGTCTGCTCTCGGGGCTTCATGGGAAGTGGACTCTGAAGACAGGCCCTGTGCACCTGGGTTTCCCCCGCAACCCTAAGCGGCCACCCACCGGAAGTGCCAGGTGTGGGGCCCTGCTCCCTGCCCCCAAACCCAAGGCCTGGCCCGCGGAACTCCCTAGCGGAGTCCCTTTTGCATTTGGCCTCTCTGAATGTGAAGGCCGCTTTCTGCTTCCCACGGGCAGCGGGCAGCGTCTCGGGTTGGCAGAGACCAACAACCAGGAAAACGAGTCAATCCGGCCTCTCCGCTTTCGTTCCGCTGAGCCTGCCGAGCACTTTGGAAGCCAAACTCTGCTGCCACCTCCCTGAGGCCCTCCCCAAAGCAGGCGAGAGGACGCGGAGCCCGCTTGGTGCAGAAACAAAGCAGCTGACTCATCAGGCTTTCGGAGGACCTCAGCCGCCTCCACTGGGCACCTACTGGGCACCGCGTGCCCTGCGGGGAGGCCACCCAGAGCCAGGAGCTGCCTGCTGCCGGCTGGGCACGGAGCCGGGCAAGTGGCAGGAGCC